GAAGAGAAGAGAAGAGAAGAGAAGAGAAGAGAAGAGAAGAGAAGAGAAGAGAAGAGAAGAGAAGAGAAGAGAAGAGAAGAGAAGAGAAGAGAAGAGAAAAGCTAGCGTGAAGTGAAATGATTGATTGAGGCAGAGTACAAAGACAAGGTCTAAATCATTAGTGAAAGCATTAATGTCGGCTGGTGCTTCTCTGTCATATAAATCACTTTTTAACTCACTGCTTTACTTCGTGCTTATTGTTTAAGCCATGCAGCCGTGAAAACGGTGATGTGACTGTCTGCCTTTTACACGCTATAAGGGTTTATTCTAGAGCCAGAATCCACTCCCAGCATCTGCTTCTGCTCCTTATGCAGGTTTATGGAAGCCTCATGCTGCATGTCATTTCAATATTAGCAGATAGCATCTTAACAGGGTGTGGTCCCGCTGAATAAGAGGAGGCTGACTTAGAAAAGGGATTGAAGTGATGTATAGGCACGAATCATGAATAAGAGAGAGCAGATGCATTTAAAGCATTTAAAGGAAGTGTATGTTTTCTGATATGCGATGCTCAATAATGATTTGGTTTAGGAGGGACAAAAAGAGGAGAAATTAGCTGGAAACAGAGAGAGGAGACTGGAGAAGATGAACCCAAAAGGAGAGAAGAGGATAGGTAAATGGAGGTGGATAAAAGATGATAGATGGGGTCTACTGGACGGCAGTGTGAGGGTGGGAGGGGCAAGGAAGGGTGAGATGAATAGAGCGAAGGGAACGGGAAAAGGGCCAGACGGGAAGAGGAGAGGAGGGAGCTGTCAGGATGATTTGAGTTTGCCCCCAATGGACCCTGACGCTGCACTTTTCAGTATGTGTGTGTGTGTCTGTGTGTGTGTTCATTCCAAAATAGAGATCTTGCTTTCAGCGACAGAGCAGTGCAGTGAGCTTACAGGAAGCTCTGAAGCAGTGAACCAGCTGTTGTCTCATACAGTAAACTTCAGGAAGCATCTCTTTGATACTCTACCTGACAATCCCAGAAGTTTCACATCAATCCAGAGAAGCGCTTTACCTGGATTTCACAAATACTGTGAACACTCACACAGAATATATTTAGGTTACGATCAGGTTGAAGAACTAGAGCCAAAAACCTGGGAGAGAGCTGGACTTCTTTACCATCGTTTGCCTGGTGCTCAACACTTTTTCATAAATCTGTTAGGCTTTAAAAAACTTCCCTCTAAATTTTCTAACATTCGGCTGAAGGAAAAACCTAGTCTGGTGATTTCTGATGGTCACGCTCATCTTCATGCCATATTCTGAGGCTGGGTTTGAACTCCCTCCTAGATATTTTCCATTCATTACAAAACTATTTTTGTGTCCGACCAAGCACAACGCTCAGAATGTCTTCCAGGAGAGACACATATCCAAGCAGCATTGTTTCCCATCGCCCTCTGGGACAGCTGGCATTTCAGTGTTGAGCAATTATAAACCTATTTGATTTCCTGAGTGCTTCATACTGCACTGTTGGGTGTGCTGAATAACAGCGACACCAAGCATGCGTGCCTCTAAGGTGAAATAAAGCAGAACATTTTCATCTCAGGGCAGCGAGTGCTGTTGTTCTATGAGAGGTCGATGGCAACGCAGATGAAGACCGCAGTCGTTTGAAATGCCTCTGAGGCCATCCGTCATCAGCGCTGGTGACGGAGCAAATCGTGGGTTTGTCACCTGGGAGACTACGGTTCGGTAAAAAGCTGTGATTTTGGTTAAACATACCACAAACGTTTAAAAGTGTCTTATATGTTCCCTCGAGTATCCTTTTATCTTTTTCAAATATTCCTAATTGCTTTTTTATGCGAAGGTAAGAGAGAAACAGTATCTCCTGTATGCTTAAACTTGACAATAAAGTCTCGAATTGTTATAAATGAGTAAATGTAACAAACTGGAAATGACTTTCTTAAATAATTGAATATGAAATATCTTTCATCATCTATACAAGCTACATAAAGAGACACAAATAGCTACAGTTTCAGTCAGATTATCGAGTTCAGACTGACTTAAAAATACACACAGGTATTACAAATGGACATACATGTTACCACGGTGATGGTCACGCGATGCAAAAAGGGAAGCCATGTTGATTCACGGAGTTCCCGATGTTCCTGTCGTTCCTTTTCATCTCCCCGAGTCCCCTCAGCTGTTTCCCTGCACTTAAATTACTGCTGTACATGAATCTTAATGAAAACATCTCTCTTTGTTCTGGCTTCCACTCCATCGATTTTCTCTGCAGAGCCACAGGAGTGCTTGACAAAATGTGATGCATTATAGATTACAGATTCCCATCTTAAATTGCAATCAGGCCCATAATAGATGAAATTGCTTCATCGTAGTGACATAATAAAACAAGTCCTGCCTGGCCGGGCATGCAGATTCATAACCGTGCTGTTGTCGCAGCTCAGTGTTGGTGGAGAGACAGATGCTACTGTACGGTGAGGGGGTTGTTTTAATGATAAAAAGTATGGGAGGAAGCATATGCTTGTTCATAATGTACTCTTTGTCTGTTAACACAGATGACTCCTTTGTCCCAATAATGTGAATGTGTGTGTTTTCGTCCCCACAAACTTGCTCAGAGCTGAAAATCTGCATGTCCAAGAACAGAAACACATTTATAACGTCCTTATGACCAAACAGTGTTAAATGACAGAGACATCAGGGGGCTGTGCTGGTGTTTGTGTGTACACTCCCCCCACAAACACAGACGCACACCGGCAGCCTCTTCTCCTCGGCCTCTTTGCCCTCTGAACCTAACAGCTAAATTTCAGCCTACCGTTACACAAACACACACACACACACACACACACACACACACACATGCACGTACTCAGTGCCTGCAGACTTAAATAGCCCTGAGTTGTAGGGCACTTGTAAGCTTGAGATGTTACCACCAACAGTGTCTCCCTCTTAATGGCATAATCTGCACGGTGACTTTGCAAAAAAGGTGCTTGTCATCACTGGGAACAACCTGGAGTTATTTAAAGGCAGTGTACAAACACACATGTACACAATCAGTATGCATGCACCACAATAAATAAATCAGCTGCTGGTGTTTCTTGCAGATTTCCTCCTCCTGGGAAACGGCCGGGGTTTAAATGGATGCGAGAAACTCAGAGAGGAAGGGGAAAGGAAGTGCAGATGTAGCAAAGCAGGGAGGATAGATATGTCAGAGAGACAAAACTGAGAGAGAAAGAGCATCTAATGTATCAAAGTGAATGCAGAGTAAAAGTGGAAAGAAAATGTTGGGGGCAGGGAGACAAGAGAGAGAAGTATGCTTTTCATTTCCACAGCACAGCGCGAAAGAAGCAAAACTGAGCAAAGCACAGCGGGCTTTTCAAGCTTTCAGCCGCTCAACAAACAGGCAGCCGGTTGAAATATTGATGCTTCAATTCCAACAAAGGAATGTCTGAATGATTTTGGTACATCTGAGTGGGGAAATTCACCTATCTATAATTGATACGGCTGAAATGTTAATAACTGGATGGGAATGCACGGGAACGGAGGCGTAGGCTGAAAAGCGTGCACGTGCGTGCGTGCGCGCTCACAGTGGCGGTAACGCCCCAAAGGGTCTCCTCTGCTGTTTGCAGGATGCATTCACTCATGATGTGACAGTAAGCAGTTTCTTTTAAGTCAAAGCGTTGGACAGTTAATACATTCATAACTTGAAGTGAGAACTTTCTATATGACTTTGGCAAATCATTCCCTCTGTACTCAGCTGTTTGCAGCCAAAGTGCAGGTAAGATAGACTCAAACCCTGGTGGAAGCCTGTTACTCAGCCTGCCTTTATCACTGCTTGCTGTATTTTTATTTCAGACTGTCAAAATGTCCCCGTTCTGTGAGCCTCGGTGTGCAACCGAAGCCAAACAGCCAAAAAACAATGATGGACACCAAATCCTCTAATCTGTGTTAATTCTTCCAAAGTGTGAAAACCATGCTGGAACAGTAAATGTGTTGTAATTAGACCCTGATAATTAGAGACAGGGGACCCAGCGAGGTCCCAGAGTGATTATTATGGGATAGCTAAAGCCAGAGAAACAGGAGGAGAGTGGGCTGAAGTTCACCGAAAACACTCTGCAACTCTCACACAGAGAAAGGCTGGCTCACACAAAAAGCCGTCTGCAAAACTTCTCGTCTTTCCTTAGCTGCGACTTAGCGAGCAGCTTTAAATCTCTTAATCTGCTAGTTTTTACTCCTTTTTTTGGCAAGATATATCAAGTCCTTTGTGCATTTTTCGCTTACCTGCAGTCCAGTTTCTCTATTTCAAAGTGCGGGTTAAAGTTCAGGACGATGCGCTGCGAAGACTCAGGGGCCGTGATGACCCAGCGGCAGTTCTGGTGAGGTGGATACTCCAGAGGGTAGCCGGGGGTGGTGATGTAGCCCGCATCGCTTGCATCTAAATTGCCGCCGCATGGTTCAGATGCTGGATGGAAACAGAGAGAGATAAGGAGAAATCATGTTTTACACAAATCTGGAAACTCAAGTGGATAATATGATTACTTATAGGCTTTGGTCACCAAAATCATCCTGCGTGTTTGAAACGTTAACACAGGTCAATACACGAGTTCACAGTTAGATTAAGTTCACCGATTAACTTCTCGGATGAGAGGTGAAACGTCTTCAAGTAACTTAAAGAAGTCCAGACGCTTTTCTTTGCAAGCTCCTTTGACTACGATGACCTGGATGACTGAGAACCTTCACAGACACATTTCACCGATTAACGTTTTCAGGGAAATTCAGGAGCAAGAGGGCAGAGGCTACGTGACCCAGAAGACTAAAGGTGAAAAAGTAAAATACAACTTCACAGCAGCAGGCGGGGCTACAGTTCTGTCTGCTTATCGATACTGACCAGGAGCACGTGTGAACTTCCAGTTATTTCAGAGCATATTTGTTCATCGTGCATGAATTCTCACAATAAATGAAGCAAAACAGATAAAATGCAGATAAGAGCAGTGTGTGCAGAGACAGGATATGAGTGTGTCTCTGTGTGTGCGGTGTTAAAGGTCAACACAGCATCGTGAAGCACAAAGACTTCATTCTGGCCTGGAAGGACTGCCATGCACGCACACAGACACACAAACACACACGCAGACACACACTTCCAGATGCAGCAGTTACTGTCACAGAGCGGACCCACTTGTCAGCACTCATACGTCTGTGTCACATCATAAACAATACTCCTCGTTCACTGCCGCAGATGTACCCTGACATAGATGGGTAACTCATACATATCTGTGACACCCAGCGGCACAACACACACAACTCCACTGTATGAAATCTTTGGCACTTATTGTGCACAATGCTGGCTCTCCTGTTTGATGGACTGCACAGGCTAAATATGCCGAGCTTCTTCATTGTTTAAGATCTGCAAAACACAAGTTAAACCATCGTGGCGAGTATGTGCTGAATGCGAGCTTTGTTGAGTCCGATATAATGGCGCAGTCTGAGCCAGCGACAGACAGAGAACAGTCAACCGCCACGTTTTTTAGTCTGCTCCAAAATAACATCCACCCAAGTGATGCAGGTTAGGGTTAAAGTATATAACACGAGTAACTTGTTCTTCTGCACTGGCAGAAAATTAATAGTAAGTGCTTTTTGTTTAAAAAAAAGAGACTATTATTTCAAATATCCAGGGAAGAATTTCAGCAACCAAAAATGTGATCAATCAGAGCATCTCCAACAAAGCAGATGGATTTTCTGCAAATATTTTGGAGGAAGAAAAGATGGCTACAATAGGCCAGGTTATTCTAGTGAAAACAGCATCTGTGAGCGCCGGCTGCTTGATGGGAAATATTTGGCCGGTGAGCAGCCCCTAAAAATAATTTCCTGTTTTCAAAAGAAGGAAAAACAAACTCACAATCAAGCTCTTGATAGTCAGCAGCTTATTGCTCTCTCAGCCGTGACTAAATATGCATCAAGAAACTCGCCTCAAAAGAAAAAAAGCAGAGGAAGAGCAGCAGGAGGAGGTTAGGTGAGCTGTCTTTGCTACGATCTCACCCGCTGTGCAGTGACGTTTTATTTATCGCCACTGTGCTGAGAGGGATGACATAGCCAAGTCAAACTGCTCGGCAGAATGCAGCATGTTTTAAAGCCATAGCTATTAATAGTGTGGCTACTGTAAACTTACTCTGAGTGGAGTCAACATATGCAAACATTAATACACGCACGCATAAACACTTTATCGGGCACCATCTTCGAAACTAATTAAAAGAAAAGGTCAAACAAAAACGCACGTCGAAAATATCACGTTGCTGCCACGCTCACATGGCTGACTGCGTATCAGACAGTCAGTAAGAGAGGATTAAAGAGCCGGTAAGACTTCAGCGCTCAGCACACACCATGAGTGACACTTTGGCATCTGTATCTGGTGTCTACCTCACTCTGTCTGCAAACAATTAGTGATAACCGCTCCGTATCTCAGCGTTTCTGCCTGCCTCTCTTTGGTCTCTGGCGCTGTGAACCAACGAGTCCTGTTTATGTCCTCCTGACACACAGTGGTACAGGAGTAGGGTTACGTGGGCGATGTAACCCAGCCAGATGGATTTCATCTCAGCACCACCTGGATTAGTGTTTAACCACTCTGGAATCTCACAACGACATCAGCCAAACACCACTTTTAGCACACGCTGCTTTGCTAAATGTAGCTAATGAAAACTCTTGGAGAGGTGATGCAAGGGGTGTAAAATCAATGACTGCGGATTCAAATCTGACTGATAAATGAACTCCTGCTTGGATGTTATCTGAAGGATAAGGAAATCGACTCTGGCACATCCACAGGTTGTTTTTTTAAATTTTCGTTTTTAATAGCTGACCAAATTGTTCTTTCCACAGACGTTGACTCAGCTACACATGAATCATTTGTGGTTAAAGTTGGCTGGATGCTTTAAACAAATACCTGTGCAACTATACACTTCAGCATTTACCTCAGGAGCTGCGCTCCGTGATTGTAATGGTATCCTTTAGGACCACTTTGATTAAAATAAGGTTATTCCTATTTGAAATCCATAGTTTTCTGTTTTCCACATGTGGGAAGCTTAAGGTGGGCGGGGGGGCTAAACTCTTGGTACAGAGCAGGCATCTAAAAGACATAAGACACTGACAAAAATGGCATGAAAAAGAGAAACTGGAGTAGAGGTGGGTTGCAAAGTGGCTTGCAGAGGTAGCAGCAGTTGTAGCTTAACATTCTCTATATGAGGTTTTCCAATAGGATGTGCATAAAGGTATCAGCTGATTTTGAGCTGTCAGCTGATACAGGCTAGCTCTGGTATCAGGTGTTAGCTGCTAAAGCTAAATGCTAAATATATATATATATATATATATTCTGGCTGAGTCTCGCTACCTCTCCTCTCCCTGTTTCACCTCTGGCATACAGCCGATAAAGACAGCACCTCCAAGTGTCTGATGAATAAGGCCGGTGTGATATTTAGGCAGGTGCCGTGTGTGCATGAAGTATCGTGTCTGCTTTACTTTAAGGGTCTATTAATCTCCGGACGTGCACACATACACAAAGTCATTCAACAAACACTGCATCCAAACAGAGCAGAGAGTGACACAAATTGAGGCGATGAGGGCACGGATGACATCAGATCCTTTAGAATGAAGTGCCATTCATGATGAATTTCATATTGCACACGAAACATGTAAATATACAGCCGGTGAAACGTCAGGCCCCTGCAGCGACAGGCCAGCGTGCAAAGGGAGGGACACGGCTCCGGGTTTATGTCTGTAAAACAGGGAGGTGCATAAATACAGCTTCCAAAAGCAAACCTGCTATAATCCTAATTTGTATTCCCCACCCAGACGTGCACGCTGTGAAAAAAGTGCAATGTGTGTCAGAACAGAGAAGATGCTGAGTGGGGGAAATGCCTGACTTCACGTCAAGAATTACCAAATAGGTTAAAGACAGAATCATCCTTTAATCGTCACAGAGCAGCCTGCTGCGAGCAGCTGCAAAGGTGACGGTCCATCCTGGTGAAGTGAGGCTGGGCAAACAGGATGAGTGCAGCAGCTGCCGGCGACAGGAGACGGGAGACAGCAATGCTTGCTTCACTCATTTTTCTTTTATTACACTAACACAGAGAGTAGAGTTTATAACAGCAGAGGTTCTCTTCATAGGTTTAAGCTTATTTTCCACTAGATTTGATTCAACTGTAATGGTTGGTTTCCATTACAGTTGAGGGGCACTTATTGAAAGTCCAGTGATGTCATTTCTATGCGACACAACACAAGATTGGAGGACATCGAGGCGATGGTGCGCCTGCTGCTCGGCCTGCAGCTTTCTGTCGGACTCCAGGTTTGGGTGTGGCCATGTGCAACGTTGCTGTTTGATTCCTGTGAAGGAGTGCTACCACCTAATGGAAAACTAGGGAAAAAGCTAGCTAGTGGAAAAGAGGCTACAGTGACTGTAGTACCGTGGAAACCTGAATCAGCGTTAAGTCCTGTCTGACTTTGTTTTTTATCATTTGGTCTAATCCTACAGCGTAGCATCAAACTAGGCTCTGGCCGATACCACAGCGCCGAGCGGGTACTTTCACAAGGCGCCATATCAAAACATCGGCGTATTCTTTGGCGCAGTGTGTCCTTGCCTTATCCAAACACTTTCCTCCTCTTGACCCTCGTTTTCACACAGTAAAGCTTTTCTCTCAACCGCATCAGCATGTGTGATCTTCAGGGAGAGGCTGTATTTGCACCACAC